TCACTGTGTTGTGGGATTATAGGCTTTCTGGAGTTGACCAAGCTGCTAGTGGCAACCCAGAAACAGTTTTGGGAAGCAGAATGCTTTTCCAAGAACATCTAGGAGGATTTTCAGCCCTCAAGCTGAACTCGAACCGCGAGTATGAACACATTTATAGAGGAGAAAATGGCATCCGGGAGGTCGTAGGCCCATCTTCAGGTAAGACAGTGCATCAGTGCACAGGTCAAGCAAAGCTTAAAAGCGGTGCAAGGAGACTGTGACAGGCGTTTGTGGCAAGATCACATGCCAGGCACTTCATCGGATCAAAATTTCATAAAAATTTGTTGGTTATGCTGAAATTGAGGCTCGTCGAAGCGTAGCGCTGTTCCAGCCTCGAGGAGCTCACGGCGCATGTCAAGTCAGTCTGGGTTAACTTAAAGCCTGCTATGCAGCCAAACATGCCGGTTGGCATGCCGCTGCATGTATTCATGTGTTTGCCTATTAAATGGGGAGCACATTGAGGGGTCATAAACATATCAAAACGCAATGTACTCTGTTTCACATGCAAACATAATGTGAGAACGAACTTTTGGGACACCCTGTAGGTAGAATTGACACACTGAACCGGAAAATGGCAACTGTGACCCCTCGTTATGTCCCCGAGGTCATCTCAGGTCTCCAACAGAATCTAACAGTTTTTCGCTAATAACTTCTGATAGAGGCGAACTAGAGCGCTGAAAACGCCTTAGATGTGTTCGGCTCGACATTGCGGATCGACTGATATGCAACATGACCTTTTCCAGTCAGGTCATGACCTTGACCTGAGGTCAAATTTTCAAGTTGACCTTTCAAGGTCAAATTATAGTTCATTCGCTGCGTCTCGACGAGAGGAACACGATGCTGGCAAAAGTAATGTCATGGCTCTTTTGAGTCAAAAGTTATTGCCGAAAAAACGCTTTTCGTAAAAACGTTTATTTTGGAGTTTTTGCCCTATGGAGGCTAAACCGTTGACCTGAGGTCAAATCTGAGAACATTACTCAGAAAGGTCTGTAAAAGGGCTATCGAATGCGCGTTTGTTTCCGAGGCGCTGTAGCTCTATCGGTTCCCGAGATAGCCGTTGGCAGTTTCCAAAATGTTGAAATAGTCAACATTTTACCTTTGGTGACCTCTGGTGACTTTGACCTGACCAAAAAATGACCGAAGTGTTTTCGTCCTTATTTTGGACGTCCTTTCGATTGCCGCTTACCGCGTGTCGCTACGTGGCCCAGGAGCCGAGTTAGAAGGGGGGGTGTTCAGACCCCCCGGCCCAGCGCGGAATCTCAGAGCACCGGCCCGGCGCGGGTAAGATAATATTCATTTATCTCCACAGAATATGGGAAATTAGTGCTGCTGAAGTTCGCTTTCGAAGCGTCTCCTCCAGGCATTCCATAGCTCTCGTGCCATTTTGGATCACGGAACATGGCTGGGCGCAGGACAGGTCGTCTGCGAGCTTGGACGGACCACGTGACCACCTCCTCCCCTCCCCCTCACTCCCGTCCCCTTCCCCAGCAGGGCGTCCGATCTAACCGCGCCCCAGGCAGTCGGCTCGGTCCGACCCTCCCTGGTCAAGCCACGGCCCGGTGCCGCCTGAGTTTGTGCCGGGTGCAAAACTGGAGCAGTAACTAGCGCCGGAACTAGTAGTCAGCACGACCATCGTCAGATGGCAGGAGTAAATGGAATAAGCGGTTCCAGGTTTCAGAAGGAATGGGGCAGGAAAAAGCGCTGAAAACAATGTTTTGCTGATATAGCCATAAAAAGTTCACTGAATTAGGAGAGCAGCACATCAGTTTAAAGCCCTTCAGATGGTGGTTTTAACCCACGAGCCGCTGGGGGGGGGCATAAAGTTGCCCCCCCTTTACGTTTTGTGAAATATCTCCGAAACCTGATGAGCTACGAACGTGAAACTTGGCATAGCTTCAAATGAATACCTAGGCAATGTTTGAGGAAAGTTTGGTGGTTGCAGCACTTAATATGACGTCACAGTGACGTCATAAAGTTTTGTCGTTTTCCGATATGGACCGTTTCTGATGACGCTGAGCATGAAAGGTAGTGTGCCACCTTTGAAAGATTTCCCATTTTATTTTTCCTAGGATAAGAAGCTTCTGTTTTTACCTAATATTGCAAAAAAAAATCAAAAATGGGCCTGGAATAGTGCCTTTTTCGCCTAAAAGTTTTTCGGTTTTTAGATATGTATAACAACTGTAGTGGGCTCACCTGCAAACAGGCGTCGGGCAACAATCGCGAATGCGGCGCACTTGTGACAATAAGCAAAGGTCATTATAGTGTTACGACCATACGACGTACGGGAATGAGTTATCAGCTGTCTAATCGTAGACAACACAATGTCGAGCCTTAAACTGTAAGCCCGTATTGGTATTGTTTCTTTTATTTGGCTGTCGAACATTATTTATGGTTTGAAATATGATTTTATGTAAAATAATTGATATGAAAAAGCCGTCTTATAAGTTATGACCCCATTTCACCACACGCAAGTGGCAGAAATGACAATGATCAGCTGACGCATTTTTCTTGGCCGAAGTCAGAGCGCGCGGCCCGACGCACCACGCGTATTTGGAAATTCCGACCTCGACGAGCATCAGAAGCCACCTAACAGGCGTGTTCGAAACCGCAGGAGATGATGATGAACGGGTTTATCGAAACTTGATTGGATGAGCATATCGGTAATAGCGATTTCAGTGTGTGCATTTATTGTTCATAGTGGTGTGAAATGTGGTTGGGGTACGACCGACAACCCGTCGGGGCGAATTTCGCACTGGGGTACTCAAAATTTGAAGAATTTAAGACGTTTCCATGAGTTTTGAAGGTATGGATAAGTTCTAAAAATCCGGTTCTCCTTATCTGGGCCATTAACTCCATACGGTCCAAGAAAGCTGGCACACTACCTTGAAACTCAACTGTAAATGAACTAGACAGCACCCGCTGTCATCCTAAAACATCTAACTACACTTCCATTTAGTTTCTGACCAATAATTGACCCTTTATATTCGGTCCCATATATCTGATGTATCGTGAGGAATATGAGAGTCGCAAATCTATAATTTCACTTATGACGTCACTGTGACGTCATTTCAATGGGATCGACACCAAATTTGGACACAACCTCGGCTAGGTATTCAGGAAGATGTGTGCAAAGTTTCGCTTCTCTATCTCTTCGCGTTGCGACGATATCGTCGCAGAAGTAAAGGGGGGGGCAACTACATATATGCCCCCCCCCCCCCCCCCAGCGGCCAGCGGGTGGCGCGGAGGCCCAGCGGCCGCCGGGTTAATAAGCACACAATCATTTCCCAATTCGCCTCAAACGGTGTCACAGGCAAAGAATACGCTGAAATACTAGTGTGTACAGAAGCAACTGCGGGTCCCTGTATATACCTACCTATTACCTAACTTAAAGCTAAAAGCAATTCCTCAAAAGATTGAAGTACCCAGTCTACATATCAAAGCTATATCAAGAAAAATACTTGGTTCAGAAGTCAGATCGAGATGCAGGAAGAGAAACAGCAGATTGATCACTGATCAGTAACCGTGCCAAACAGAAAGTGAGGAAATACGAATAGTGAGTAGACATTTACAATTTTTTTGACAAAGTAGGTAAGGTTTGTTTGAATCATTAGTTTGAATATCTAATCAGAATCCATGAAGTGCCCGTTATTTGTGTCATACGTGAGACGTGAGAATAGGCTAAAGACCCATACCGATTCTATAATGCAGTGGCTGCCAAAAATCTAAGACAGTTGCTGGTGCTAAAATCCTCTTAAAATCCCCTTTTAATTTGAAAAATAAGGCCATATAAAGATGAACACTCGTTTTTATGTGTTTTAGTGTGCATTTAGTTCCTGGAAATACACATTTTGAAATTCATCGTCTGCAAAATAAGCATCATTATAATAAATCATGAGTTAATATGTGGAGGAAGTTTTAATCTTTAAAATATCATAATGTAAAATATTGCATACTTATATCACAAAAACGTGGAATTTATCTTAAATCAATTAAACTGTCTGAGAAGCTCGTCAAAGTACGCCACAAATTCTGGCGTGAAATGGACGCCGCTGAAACCGCAAACAGCTGATAATTGTCGGTGTTTTGAGATGTGCACAGCTGCTCACGGTTAAAATCATTCTACGGCATCCTCAAAACCGGCGGCTACCAATACCGTAAAGAGCGTGTCGTGTTTCCGATTTCACAGAGTTTTATAAGATTGCGTGCTATATATCCAGCCTTAGAGTGCTGCCATATCCATTTCAAGGCGTTTATAAGATTGGGCCCATGGGAGTGATCGGAAGAGTATCCGTCTCGATTCCGGACTGGGTTAGTTGGAGCCGGACTGACAATAAAATGAATGAAATGAAATGAGGTGGGGGAAGAAGGATATAAAAAACGCTCTACCCTGGTGACATTTACTGGCAGAGAGAGGATCAGAGTAGCAGTGCTCGTGCTCGGACACCAACGCTGAGATGAGCCACCTCCGAAATTAACGCAACCTTAAATAAATGCGCACCTCCCGTTATTAATAACAAACATCTTTCGATTATTCTTCACATGGGTTGGACAGATGACTTAGTTGAGGCAAAACTGCTGGGTATGTACTATTACATATTTTTGAATTGATCACATCCTCCTCCAACATTATTTAAGCCCAAACTAATAATATAACAATCCGTCTAGCATTCGGACAAAGTAATAAAAGAGTCCGTAATATACCTATGCGTACATACAGTAGCAAATGCGGGTCTCTGACCTACTTCAAATTTCACTGCTCCCGAAAACGAAGAGTGAGAAGGATACGAAGAAATAAGCAGACAAGAAAATAGAAATGTAACACTTTTCCGCTCAAAGGCAGCTGGGAGAGGTAGCTCCTCCACTCCGTGCGCCGGCACGCCGGACAACCGGTACCGGTAGTGGTTACAGTGGTTACGGCCGCAGGCAGTACCGGGCCGGGCCGGGCCGGGGCGGGCACTCACCGGTCGGCGGCGTCGTCCGATTTGGCGCTGGGTGGCGCCTGGCAGCCGGTGGTGAAGCTACGCCGCTGAGGACTCAGCACCAGGCAGTCCTCCTCTGCTTGCAGACGCTGCCGCCGGTCGGCTGTCCAGTGAACGGCACACGTCAGCTCACCACTCACCACCCCTCAGGGCGGACAGTGCGGCGCAACACGCTCTTCAATCCCATGGGTTTAAAACAATTTTAGAAGCATTGAAGAGAATACTTGGTCTTTATAAGGTCAGGTCAAAGCTCAGGTGACCTGAGGTCGTAAAAGGTCAAGTTTGGATTGTTTGAACAATTTTCGAAAACCTGGCGCATAATTTGGGAACTAATAGAGCTGCAGCGCCGCGGAAAAACGCATTCGATAGCTCTTTCAAAGCTCTTTCGCCAAAGTAGCCCTCAGATTTGACCTCAGGTCAACGGCTTAGCATAAACTCTCCAGAGGGCAAAAACTCCAATAAAAGCCACTTATGAAAAAGTTTTTTTTTTTGCCATAGCTTTTTACTCGAGAAAGTCATGACATTTATTTTGCCAGACATCATGTTCTTCTTATCAAGACGCGTCGAATAAACTATAGTTTGACCTTGAAATTTCATTTTGAAATTTGACCCCGGGTCAAGGTCAAGACCTGACCGGAAAAGGTTATGTTGCATGTCAGTCGATCCGTTCAGTCGATCATCGCTCTAGCATGCGCCTACCAGAAGTTATTAACGAAAAACTGTTAGGCTCCCTTTTGTGACCTGAGATGACCTCAGGGATATAAGGAAGGGTCAAGTGATTTTCCAGGTCAGTGTGTCATGTTGAATTGTTAATAGGTGTTTGGAAGTGTTCAAAATGGTGTCCGTCCAGAAAAAAACGCATTTTAATTCCCTTCCATTGACACTGGTGATAGATGTCGGACTTTCGTCCTCGTCTTGAGGTGGGATGTTCGTTTGTCTGGCCGCTATGTCTGCCTCGAGCGGTGCAGTATTAGTTACAACTGTCCCTGTCGCCTATCACCGGAGCAACCCGAGATCATTTCCCGCTGACCACAGGAGCTTTCGATAAGGTATGACGCGTACGGCGCAACGCCACCAACACCCAAGATCTTTCTAGGGACCAAAGAACAACTGACGACGGCCGGAGAAGTAACTGGCCGAAATGTTGTGAAACTAACATCTCAACTCAAGACGGGAACGAAAGTCCGACAATTAACATCCGTGATACTACCTAATGCCTCGTCTCAAGCATTCCGAAGAATTATCCCATGGACTTATAGGTAATGGGGAGGTGGCAAAATTGACCTGACCTTAGGTCAGCTTAGAAAAAACAATGCGTTCAAAGAATCGTAGCAGTGATGCAAGTACAAACTTTGGTTGTGGGTGCCCAGAGCCCCTTGGGGGGTGCCCAACTCAGCATTGGGGGTGCCCGGGCACACCCAAAAGTATACAAATCGACACCTATGCAACTCTTGAAAATATATGTGATGTTTTCCAATAATGATATTTCTAAATTTATGTGGCATTTGCATTAAAAACACGCTTAAATTAAATTGAAACATGTTTTAACCCGCGGCCTGATCGGGGGCCATTTTGCCTCGCCCCCCTGTGTTTTTTCCTAAATAGCGAGCAAATTTTAGGTTCCTTCCCGGGCATCAATTTGACACATTCACACAAAATTTCAAGTCACAGGTCACCTTGGGTCAGGAGTTATTGAGGTCAAACTGAGGTCATGTTCGAGTAAAAATGGGCGAAAAACATGACATCTTGAAACGCTCACCAAATCTACAGTTAACAAGGAATTTTAAAGTTCTTTATGTGTTTTTGTAGAGAAAAGACGGCGCTCAAAACTGCTAGCTCGGATTTTCAAAATTTTGGGATTTTTACCCCCAAATATAAAAAGAATAGAAAAACTCTTTTTTTTCGAATTTCGCAAAAACCGGAATATATGAGATAGTCCCTGCGCTCTTCGACATACATACCAAATTTTAGATCCATACCTCCTTTTTGGCCAAGTTATAGCGAAAAAAACGGTTAAAAATTGATGACGTCAAATTTTCAAACTCAATTTTTAGCAATTCTAGACCACGTAACGCAAAACAAAGACCACCATTGCACTCCCCGCGACGAGCTGCATCGAATCGATACCCATTTTATGCAAAAATATCAAGTTTGAAATTTGACCTAATTTGACCTGACCTTGACCTGACCTTCATCAAAACATAATCTCAACTGACCCCAAGGGCTGCCTGTCCCACATAATCGCATTTGGCATATAAAATGGACCATAAAACATGCATCACATGATATTTTTAATATGTGACCCTCAGTGACCTGACCTCAGTGACCTGACCTGGTATCAGTGACCTCAAATAGCAAAATATGTGTTTGACGAACATTTCCACATCGATGATTTTCAATGAAATGCATTTTACTCGATTTTACAACGCATTTCTTGAAATGCCTCTAAACGGTGCAAATTCGACCTTTGACCTGACCTATGACGTCATCGGTTAGACCGAGGTCAATGAAATTGGGTCACAAGGTAGTTTCCCGTTGGGGCTATCCAACAGCGTTTGCCGCTTGTCGCCATGTTGCGTGGTTCTCGAGATCTTAGGGGGGCAAAATGCCCCCCCCCCCCAACAGACCGCGTTGCTTGGCAGACACCATCAGTGCGCGGGTTAAATGCTTTATTAATCTCCTTGACCATATCGTAATGATATCGATATCAAAATATCAGCTGACTGCCGGCGACAAACATTTCCGGCCGAAGTCGGCTGGAATTTATTGGTTGGTGAAACTCGTGGCTCTGTGGCGGCTATTTTTTCGGCTGGATATTTTATTTCGGCGGCCGGCTGGTATTTTTTTGGTAAAACTGCCCTCAGCACTACAATTATTGTAAACAAACAAATGGAGCACCACTTGGCTCTGTTCCAAGGCCTTTTTCAAGGTCATCAGAGGCCTGTTTCACTAACAAATGAAGTGCGTAATTACAATGAAAAAACTTAAGTTTAAAAGAAATAATTACCAACATTTAAAACTTGGATTTCACGAAACCTCCGAGCATGAATTTTGAGTTTACAATTTACCAACTTTTTCACAAGAAAAAAGTTTGTAAGAAACATAGAAATCGCAAACTTTCTGTTTCACGAAGACCAAGAACTTGAAAAAACGTGGGACTTACAAATCCGAAATTCCAGTGGCAATGACGTTTAGAATTTTGCTATTTTTGTGCAATAATGCAAAGCAATCAATTATTTAAAACAAATATGATATGCTGAATCATTATATACTCCTTTTTACTTAACACAATCCCTATGAACCAGCTACGAGCAATATTCAAGCATCGTCATGTTATGTCATTCGTGCGCCATACTTGCATTCAACAGTCTTCTGCTGTTAAATGTTTTGCGTGTTTTTTTCAATAATAGCATAGATATAAAAAAATAATAGGATATTGTGAACTATGATTTACATCATTTTGTAACAGCATCGTTACTTATAATTTAATAATGCAATTTTGGACATGAAAAATAGACATAATTTGATGAAAAGAAGCAATATATGTAACGTTACAGTTTTTGATAATAAAAAAACAATTTTGCTGTTTACAAGATGATTTGTAAACTCTTTTTATTGGAGGTGCCGCTGGTGTTGAAGTTAAGTGAAATTGGATTCTACAGAGTTAGCAAAAATACTTATGAATGGTAAAGTTCAACACTTGCAATCGCAAGTTTTTAGTGAAACAGGCCTCTGGTGGTTTTTTTTTACTCTTGTACGTCGTTTTGCGCGCGTACGTCTTGTACGCGCCCTGCTGGGGGGGAGGGCAGATTCTGCACCCCCCCCCCCTGTCTAACTTCCGAAGGTCGTAAAAAGACGGGGAAAACGGAAATCGACAAACTCTCAACAAGGAGGACCTTAAGAGCCTATTTGTTTTTTGCTTAAGTAGGTCAGATGTCAGGTCAAGGTCAAGTCAAGTGTACAAAATGCAAGTTTTTACAGCATCAGCCTTGCACCGTAGTTGCCGAATAATGGACTGAGACTGATTGCCCAAAACGTGTTTTTAGGCCACCAAGACAATATTCGTTGCATACAATATCATGCAAAGGTCAAAGTCAAGGTCAGGTCAGGACACCAAAAACGAAATATAGAAAAGGGCATGTGCGACACATGTTTTATGGGTCATTTTATTCATAGAATTCGATTGGCACACTCAATAAGTGATAAGGACCACATCTGGATAAATTTCAGGCCGAGGTCAGGTCAAGGTCAGGTCAAGTGAGGTCAAACTTTAAAGTTGGTTTGTTAAGACCTAAAAAGGTGCCTATAAAAGGTGACTATCTGATGCAGTTTTGCACGGCAAATCAAATGGTGCCATTTTTGTTTCCGTACGAGGTCTAGAACTTCAAAAAAAAATTAAAAAAAAATATTTCGTGACGTCACAAAATTTTGAATAACTCCCACATTTTCGGACCGATTATTCTAGAAATTGGTATGTAGGTGCACATAGACCACTTCTCTGGCATATATTCAGTTTTTTCGTTACACTCAAAATTTTGGATTTTATAATTATTTTTCCAAAACGTCAGTTTTTAAGAAAAAAGGGCCAAAATCCAAGATTTTCCAAAAACCGAGATAGCCATTTGATAGACAAAGTAGAATCACGGATAACCTTTTTTTTGTTACATCTTGATTCCTTTAAAAATGAAGATGTTAGCGGCGTTTGAAGTTTTGCCGTTTTTGAGGCGAAAATGGCGCGACATGACGTCACTTAACCCTCGCATGTGTGCGGCGTTTGCCAGCTTCTAATGTGTAGGGGGGGGGGGTCGGTTGGACCCCCCCTTGCCGTTTGGCCCCTGATCGAGCTAGAGCTTCGCGGAAAAAACGAGCGTGTTGCCCGTGACGAGAGGAAGCCGATGATACTCAATTTTAAGGTCCTAGGTCATTGGTTGACCTTCCAGGTCAGGTCAATGACCCAAAGTCGGGAAAATCGGGACCTGTTAGAAAGTCGTAAAGTGTGGCTGCTAAGGAGTTTTTCGGGGTGCTGATCACGAATATCGTGTTAGTTTTGATCACAGATGATGTCTTGAAGCATTTAGACCAGGTCGGGTCAGGTCAGGTCAG